TATCAATTAATAGAAGGACGTCAGAGATCTTCGTTAGGTTATTGAAGTTCCGTTTCTCTTGATTCAATTCATTTCTGATCAAACCGTTCACCTTTCCTTTGCAGATATTGCAGTGTAGGAGTGCCAACATGTTATTGCGTGTTTTAGTGCTATCGTTTCAAACATATGATCAGCAGCGTAACATTTAGTTTCGCCATGGACGACAACGTATCGTTGAAATCAGCATCGATTAATCTGGACACTACAAAGGATAATATGCTAGATCTTTCAATCACATCAAATCCAATCACGGATGAGAAGGCTGCTATGGAAAAAACTGCGTGAGTCTTTTTAATATTTTATCTGCAGTGTTTGGAAAATTGTGTCCGGTGTATACAGCATCAAAAGGCAAATTCACTTTCAGCATAAAAAAATAATTGAGCAGAATATTTTTCCAGAAATTTCTCATGTGAAGGTATTTATTTGAACGATCAGCGTTTGTTATTGCTGAAGTGCTTTAAGAAAACATAAGGTTGCTAAACAACCATCTATCGAAACAATCTACGGCAAAGTAATATCTCGAGCAGAAAGTACAGTCTGAACATATAATGAACTCGAGGAGGAATTGCCAACTCTTACTTAGATTAATGTTTTGAGATGTTAGACAACTTATTTATTATATATCACATGTGGATCTAGCTAGATTTAAACTTGTGATAATTTCTTTGAGTTTTGCCTTCAAACAAAATGTAGGTTATTCATAATCGATTGGCTTGTAGGCAGGGGATCATAAAAGGCAGTGGTTCTGTGATGCGGATGACATAAGGATAATACTTAATCGTAAAATTACTTAGTGATTTTTTAGGATCTTGTTTTGAGCCTGTTTACATACTAACAACTTTGCCTTTTTTCTAGAAGGAAATGAAGGGCATCGTTCAAAGGAAGTCTGGACGGCGCCTTTTTCTTTTCCGAAAATAATCAGCAGATTCAAAGTTAAACATATAAAACTAAGGCTCATCGGTTTGAAATCGAACAGCAACCGATCCACTGTTCAAAAAAGGTTATGAAAATTGACTTTGAGATAATTTTATAGATGCCTCATTATTACGCGTCTTCACTTCACTTCTCCTTGGAACAAACCCCTTATATGGTATAAAACATTT